AGGAAAGTATACAAGTTATACAAAACGCTCAATGGCCTCAAGCAGACACCTAGGTAATGGAACAACAAGATCGACTCATACTTGGTCGAATTGAAATTTATCAAATGCATATCTGAGTATGGTGCGTATATTCAGGTTGTGGCACAAAATATAACAATCATCTGCTTATATGTTGATTACTTGTTAGTAATTGGAAATAGCTTGAAGAACTTTTCGAAGGTCAAAGAGCTAATGAAGAAGAAATTTGAAATGTCAGATCTGGAAAAGTTGTCGTACTTCCTAAGCATAGAATTTCAAATGTCAATGCAAGGTATGTTGCTACATCAAAGAAAGTATATCAAAGAGATACTCAAGAGGTTCAGGATGGATGATTCGATTCTTGCATCTTTGCCTATCGAACCATATTTGAAGTTGGAGAATCATGGAAAGGAAGACAAAGTCGGTGCAACTTTGCTGAAACAAATTGTCGGATCTCAGAGATATGTTTGCAACAATCGACCTGATATATGTTTCTCAGCTAGATTAATGAGCAGATACATGAGTGTCGCTACTGCGAAAATCGGCGCCGGCTGAACAGAAGAGTCGCCACCGTGCGTTATTTATCCCAACGGAGGGAAAGGAAACGCTCGAAGTAAACCTCACGCAAAGACGGGAAAGGAATGGTCATCGCAACCAAATCCTGGATTCGGGAGTCGGTTACGCAAGGGAAAGGTATTAGCACCCCTCACGTCCGTCGTACTCGACGGGATCCACACTTGTTTTCTGGTACGAATTGTTATTCTATCTATTCTACAGGTCAAGGGTTAAAAGAAAATAAAATGACTCGGCAAAGTATCGCACTTTATGCCTACGTATTCCCGTCTGGAACGAGAAATCAAAGTCAATGTAGTTCGCCTACCTACGGGAAAGGAGGGGAAGGTTGCTCGCTAGGATATCGCATCCTATGCCTACGTACTTTCATACAGCATGAAAGATCAGAGCAAACGTAGTTCGGGCCACGTACGACACAAGTCTGTCTTGATTGTTTTTATCCTTCTGAAAAAGGTTTTCTCCTGCTTACGGGTCCAAGCGGACAAAAATGACACTTTTGATTGGTTTACAGTCTTTTACGCAAGAAGTATTTTTTTTAGTGTGTTTGCAATCTCTGACGCACTAGAGACTATGATTTGAGAGTGACTACGTCGTATGTCACCCTAAGGGTAACACACTAAGCAATCAGATTACTGAAGAGTGACCCTCCAGCAACCTTTTCTCGAATAGCTTAAGGTTTGTAACGTACGACATCGATTAACCTTATTGGTGTGTTTTGAATTGTTCTAAGATAAGAAGAGAAAGAAACTCTAAAAAGCCTATGGTTGAAAAGGGGATCAAAACTACCCTAATGTTGTCATGCATGGATGAAAGCCTAATGTCTGTCATAATTCCCTCCTGCACAGAGGAAATCAGAGATCCTAGGGGATAAACAGAAAAGAAAGCAAGCAAATACAGTAAAATGCATGCAATGCAGCAGTACAACAGGCAAAGTGAATCAACATTCACTTCAAACCTAGGGGGCAAGCTACACAAGCCAACAAAAAAATACAAAAAATAAAACCCCAAAGCAGAGGAGGCAGCCCAAGCAGCAACACCAGACTCCTACAGCAAACAGCAGCTCTGACAGCAACAGATGATTAACTAGCAAAAAAGTTGACAACAACAACCTTCATCTTCATGAATAACTCCCATCTTCAAGCTTCAATAAACTTCAAGCTTCATCAAGCACACTCCAAGAGGAGGATTAACAATAAGATTAAGTTATAATGTTAAAGAGCTTAGTGACAACCAAAGGAAATCACTAAGAACTCAACATTGCAAATGAAAGGTATCCTCAAAGTTCTACTCACTTGGGCATACCACTCATCCCTCCTAAGGAGAGATGGAGCTTCCCAATAAGGACTTTATGTCATTGGATGGAATGGAGATGGACAAGATACTCCATGTTTGAAGAAAGAGGCCAAACTAGTCTAATGATCTTCCTAAAACCCTAATTTTCTAAGCTCCACAAGAGGAAAAAACCTTCAACTCCAAGCTCCAATCTTAAATCCTAAGCATCTTCAATGAAACCAGAAGCTCCACCAAAAAGAACTCAAGCTCAAACCAACTTCAAGGCAGCCAACCAAGCCAAACGAACCAAAGCACTCAAGAGGGGAAAACAAAAACACAAGCCACTTGAAAAACACAACTAAAATAGAAAACAAAGTTGAAAAAATCTAATGAAATTCCTAGGGGAACATACATGTCTACCCTAACACATACTAAAAAATCAAAGCCAAATTCATCATCAATTGGAAGAACAAAATTCAACAAAACAGAGGTATCAATTAGGAAAGAAAAAGAGAAAACAAGCAACATGCAATGCAAGCATGCGAGTGGGAAATGCATCCAAGATCATGATTAAACAGCCAAAAACAGTGACAAACATCCAAAATAATCCAATCCGAATGCAACACAAAGATCTATGATGATTCGGATCGAACCAGCACGCGAACAAGCAAGCAAAACAGCAAAACAGGCCCTCTGTTACAGTGTTAATCGATTAACGCCAGAGGTTAATCGGTTAACCATTGAAAAACGCTTGAAAAATTGAATATTTGAGTTGGTTAATCGATTAACCATACTGTGCCAGAGGTGAAAAACAGCAGTTCAGAATCACTTTTCAGCAGCTTATCACTTAAGCAAACACTCCAATTATCATGTGATTGATCATGCACGAAATTAAACCAACAAACACTGATTTAAACAACATGTAAACACAATAACACAACAAGATCATGGATCAAAATCAACATAATCAATCAAATGCAAAGATCCACATGCAAATTGAGCAAATAAGTTCGAAAACAAAATCGGATCGGAGACTTGATCCGGTAATTGTTGATTCAACTGTAAATGAGTAGATCTAAGCAAAGAAAACCAGAATTCTTCAAGATCCACACCAATTATTGTAGTAGCAATGTAGATCCACCAAGAACAACTCAAAATAAGCCAAATAATCACTTCCAAAAACACTTCAAAATTCAGATCTGCTTGTGCACGAAAATTAGATGATGAAATGGAATTGATGGAGTGAATTAATGGAGGTTTAGCTCTTAGAAATCAATGATTCCAATGAAGAATCAATAATCTCAAGAAGAAGAGCTTTGAGTGAGGTTTTTTGAGATTTGAAAATTGAGAGAGAATTGAGAGAAAATTGAGAGCAATTCTGAAATGAGAGTGAATTATGAGGATTATTCTTGTGAGGTTTGGAGTGAATCAAATATATACACTCTTGGTTTGGATCCAAAGCAAGGATTGGAAAATGGCTTGGAAAATGTGGTATGGAATGAGGTTTGGGCATTTGGAGGGAAAATGAAATTTGATAATGTTCTAGATCCTTCCCAAGTGTGAAAATGCAATTTAAATGACCAAAATTGGACCCCAAAAGTGGCTGGACTTGAAAATTCACGTGCAAGGCAAAACCTGTTGTGGTTAATCGATTAACCATATAGGTTAACCGATTAACACTGTTAAAAAATTAAATCTGGACTGATTTTCAAATGGTTAATCGATTAACCCTATGTGTTAATCGATTAACACATTCAAAAATTTGAATTTGGCGCCTTTTGGAGGGAAATTTGCCCCTTTGCCCGTTTCCTGCCGTTCTGAACTCTGTTTAGCTGCTGAAAGTCATTCTTGATTGCTCTGACCCTGGGAACACTGTACATAACCCGAATGCTGCTTCTGACATGAAAAATGCCCTGCAAAATAAAATAAAATCGGTCGCTCGATTGCTGGGCAAAACAAGTGTTGAAGCCTCTGATGTTTGTTGTTTAACCTCTTGCACTGAAATTTGCACCTGGAGCCACCTGAATGCCTTGATCCCCTGCTATATGAATGATATCATGATATGCAATGCAAATGATAATGCAATGAGACATAAATCAGGCAAGAAAAGGTTGAGCAAATTTTGGGGTGCAACAATGAGTGAACAAGAGTGTCACACATGAAGACTGCAAGAAGAATCCCGAAATACTTAAAAGGATCGACAAACTATGAAATTCTATTTCAACGAGACTTTGAAAGTAAAGAAGGTATGGTTACTTGTTATTCAGATGCTGATTTGGTGTGGAGACAAGGAAGATTGAAGAAACACTACTGGATATTTCTTTCAAGTATTTAGTGCTTCAATCTCATGGTACTCGAGAAAGAAACTTGTGGTGACATTCTCATTGTGTGAGGCTGAATATATAACAAGATCCTATGATGCGTGTCAAACAATTTGGATCAGATTCGTGTTAGACGAGATCGAGGTCAAAGTGAAGAAACATCTGGTACTGCAGATCGACAACAAGTCAACCATAAATCTTGCGAAGAATCCAATTTTGCATGAAAGGAGTAAGTGCGTCGAAACTAGATTTCACTTCTTAAGGGAGAAAGTAAATTGAGGTGAACTTGAAGGCATTGCTCAAGTGAAACACAATTGGCCGACATTTTCACCAAATAATTGAATATCAACAGGTTTCTAACGTTGAGAAAAAAAAATTATGAATAGTTCAGATCGATAATGATTAGTGTGTTTCGACAACTTAGATTATAGAGGATATGATGAGATATTAGATATAATCCAAATTGAGTTATGTGGCCCAAATCCAAAGTTATTAGATATAATCCAAATTGAGTTATGTGGCTCAAACCCAAAGTTAATTAAAGTTTAGAGATTGTTACTTTACTTAATAGACACTTTAGTTATACATAAATACATGGTTTGTAATTTATTATCATTCAATTAAATAATCCAATCCTTATCACTTTATTCTTTCTCATCATTAAAAGTGCATCAAGCACTAATAAAATTAAGCAAAGAACATGAAAAACAAAAGAAAATGTTTAGTATAGTATACACAGTATAGAATTTCTCAAGGAGCTTGACATCCTTGTGAAAATAAAACAACAAAATTGAAAACATATCACTCTGTATGTTCTTAAAATCTTGAACCAGGCAAGCGCATTGTTGTTGGTGGCCGCTGTTTCAATCCACCAGCTAAGCCATCATTTTTCTTGCTCTTCCATGGTAAAACTAGTTTTGTTACAAGTCTCGAAGGAGAGAACGATCGGCGTAATTTTGATGCAGCTGATCTCTTTGGAGAATTCTTACTCAATCCATCACTTTTCTTGCTCTTTGGAGAACTTTTACTCAAACACACTGATTCATCCCTTTTCTGTACACTTTTCTTGCTCTTTGTTGGTGCAGCCAATCTAGAAGGAGAGACAGTTCGACTTGATATTGATGCAGCACCATATCTCTTTGGATAGTTCAATCTTGTAGCTCTCTTGGATGATGGAGGCGTTTTGATCTGATACTTATGAGGTGATTCGATTCGAAACTTGTGTGGTGTTGTAGTTTTTGCTTTACTTGGTGATTTGATCAAAACCTTCTTATGTTGTGATCCTGTCCGAAACTTGTGCTGTGTTTTTGTTACTCTTTTTCGTGATTCGTCCACAAACACATGAGGCGATTTTATTCGAAACTTTGATGGTGTTTTTGTTGTTACTCTAGGTGGTGGTTCAATCGGATACTTATACGGTGATTTGATCCGAAACTTGTGTGGCGATGTTGACATGACAGGTGATTTTGTCTTGCAAGATTCTTGCTGGTGTGAAGAAGTTGAAGAGAATAAAGGGTTGGGAAACAGTACTGTCTTTCTAGCCCATGGCCTATTCCTTGGAGATACCTTATTTGCCAAATGCTTAATATTCTCTTTCTGTTCATCATACTCTCTTACTTTTTTCGGGGGAGAGACTCCGAAGTTGATTCTCGAACGCGCACGATGAGGTTGAAACGGTGGCGAATCAGACTGTTGTTTGTTTTCCTTCTCCTTCCTTCTTTTAGCTCTGAGTGGTGTGTTTTCAGCTGGTTTCTGGTGATGGGAGGGTCGAGATAACGGAGTTTTTGGATCAAGTTTCGGATCAACCGAAGAAACAATTTCTCTAGCAAACTGACTTGCCTGTAAAATTTCTACAACAGTTTCACCAACCAGCATAGCAGGCAGTGACATTTTCCTCCACTCACCTACATCAAGAAGCATTGTTATATGGCCGAGTAAATAAATCAGTCCGGCCAGAGCCACAACCTTGATTTCCAGATGCGGCCGCAATGCATGCAACTGCAATTGCGGCCGCATAAAACACAATTCACAGCAATATCAAGATTGCGGCCGCGACCACCACCGCAATTCAATGCTTTACAACTAAGAACTGAATTTGATTTTGAGACAGATAGATCAATCAAAACTATCATACCTCCTAAATTGGCTGATCTTGAAAACTTCCCTACTGGAGATGTATCTTGTGCACTATTTTTTATCCTTAAAAAAAATAACAACATAGAAGAAAATTTGAGTTTATATTTTACAACACAATTATTAATAGAAATTAATAATAATAAGCAGTTAAAATGGAAATTTACCTAATAGATTCTTGCTTGCACCTTAAACTTGTTGCGAGATAATTTCTGGTACTGCGAGGGCTTAGCTTGAGTCCTCCAGAGACAGTGAACTGAAGTTCTTGTAGTCGATTCATGCAACGATCCACCTTCAAACAATAATAAAAATTCACATTCAGAGAATCATAAAAATGTAATTATAACTAATCAATTAATGATGCGATTAGGATAAGTAATTACCTTGTTTAATGTTTGTCTGATTAGAACTGGATCAAAAACAGGTAACATGTTATTATTATTTTGTGTATGTGTGGTTTTGGCAACCATTTTTGTGTCTGATTCTAACGTTGTTGTGAAAGAGAATGAGACAGAAACAGAAACAGAAACATGAAGTGAAAGTGAGGAATGAATGATGATGATGATAGGTGGTAACGGTCGGTTCAATACTTCAATTTTTCTCAGTTTTGTTAATTGTAACGGTCATTATACTAGCCTACTTTTTTGTGCTATTCTGTTCCATTTTTATTTTTATTTTTATTTAATTTTAATTATTAATATTTTAGATAAATAAATAAAATACTTAACGTCCTTTTTATTTTTTGTGAAAACTTTTACATTGTCAAAAACAAAAGTTAAAGTTTTATCTAACTTAAAGCACTTTTGTTTACCTAAAAGAAATGTTAAAAAGAGAAGCGTTTCATGTGATGAGAACGAGAAAGGTATGATTTCTCATCATAAAAGGCGAAACAACTTGCTTTCTCCCTCTTTATTGGCTGAACATTCTTCTATTATATTGAAAAAATAAATTTTATATTTGATTTTATATAACTGTAAGTCCTATGTTAGCAAGCGAATCCGCACAACTATTCTCTTTTCAAAATATATGAGAAACCACAAAAGACATGTTCTCAGTGATATTCACACAATTAGTCCATCTGGTATGGATTAGCCATGGAACTTTGAAGGGGTTTGAAAGCTTGCACAACCGCTATAGAATCTGATTCTAACCAAATTTTTCGCCAACCCTTATCATCGGCAAACTCAATTGCTGACATAGTACCGAAGAGTTCAAAAATGAGAGAATTAGAAACACCAATAATATTAGAAAAGACACACAAAAATCTGTCATCAAAATATCTGGCAATACCACCACAAGCCGAAGGTCATAGATTGCCTAAAGAAGCACCAACACACTTCATCTTGATCCAATCCCACGACGAAGGCTTTCAAATAACTCACAGAATCTTGGGAGTACAAGGAGACTGAATAGTGACTTTGAAATTCTTTAACAGCTCAAAATCTTGTGTTATTGATAAAAGGAGTTTTGAAATTATTACCAGCCAATTCACAAGCCGACATTACCAGTAATTAATGAAGAAGTTAAAATTTTCTTGTCTTTAAATTTGACGTTGTTCCTAGCAAACCAAACAACATTCAACAAATGAATAACATCAACATTAAAAGTTAACTTATAGTTGCAAATACTACAAATATCATCTCACTTCTTAATCAGCATAATAATGTTGAGAGCTTTGGACAATCAATCCAAAGATTAGAAACATAAGAGCACTCAAAAAAAGGTGATTAACAAATTCTTAAACAAAATAGAGGCCGCACATAGAAATAAAAGAAAAATTTCAACGCTTCAACTGATCATCTATGGAGAGTTTAAACAACAACAATATTCAAATTGTAAAACACTTAAACCGAGATAGACTTAGCCCAAACCTACTTCCACAAGTTAGAACGGACACCAGGCACTCGCTTAAAATCATAAGCATCTTTGAGATCCAAATCCTTTTATTCAGATTAAGATCGAAAGGAATAAAACAATTTTGAATTTTTTCTTGAATCAAAGCTGGAATGATAAAATTAGTATTCAAAAAGTTCAATCTATGATCAATAATGAAGGAGCTAACAAGCAGGTCATTCGGCACCGACACCAAACTCATCTTCAAGTTTGATTTAATTAACAAAGCTAACATATTTTAAACATTTATTTAACAAAAAATATATTCTTACACCACAACATATACTTAGAGTGTATTTCACAAAATACCGTAAATATGAAATATTATAATAATAAATACTTTTTTTTTATTAAAGGATACTAATATAAAATTATGTGAATAATCAACTTTAAAATTTTATTAATTAATATCTTATATTTTATTAATCAATTTTGTTTAATGTGTTAAAAATTATTTTTAATATTCGAACGTTTATTAACCAACTTCATAACTTTATAAATTAATTTTTTATTTTTTATTAATCAATTGTGTTTTACTATTAAAAATTATTTTTAGTATTTGAACATTTATTAATCAACTTCATCACTACTTAAAGTCACTATTTATGGACATTGTTTACGTACTATTTACAACACTGTTCATGTCATGTTCAAGACATATATATAATTATATTTTTTAATTTAAAATAATTATTGTTCAACGTATAAATATAATAAATAGTGTATACGATATTTTTGGTGTCAAATATAAATGTCAACATCATCCCATTGTTGTTTATTTAACTATGTATGGATACAAATTGGTTGAAAATTGTCTAATTGATCAATGGGCATTGAGATTTGAGGCACAAAAATTTCTTCTTTTATCTTTTATGCCGATGATTAAAAGTGTTTGTCATGCAATTTGGATTGGGTTTGAGGTAAAAATGTATCTGATTTAATGATGAATTTATTTTTGGCTTAATTAAATTTTAAATAATTGGTAAAAAAATCAATCTAATTTAGATTTAGATTTCTTTTTGAATATTCAAATTATAATTTATTTACTAATATTATGAAACACTATAAAAGAATATATATATATATATATATATATATATATATATATATATATATATATATATATATATATATATATATATATATATATATATATATATATATATATATATATATATATATATATATATATATATATATATATATATATATATATATATATATATATATATATATATATATATATATAACTTTAAGAGTGAATTTTTTAAATTTATTTAAAATCGAATCTAATCTAAGAATTAATTTGGCATTTTACTTAATTAGTCATTCGATTGAATTCAATTTAAATCTATAATAAGGAGTAAATTAAAAAAACATATTATTAGAGTAAGTTGGTCTCCACTTTTATATATATTGATAATTATAAAATCATAAAAATAAATAAATTGCATTAGACTAATAATATTATAAAATATGAATATTGATAATGCATATGAAATCATAAAAATAAATAAATTGCATTAGACTAATAATTAATATTAAAATATAAGAATCAATTAAACATAAATTAAGACAATATATCATTATAATACAAAAATTAAATATACGCATATGTTTGGTTTAGTTTGAATTAGTTTTAAAAATTAATCTAAAATCCAATTCAATTCGTTTTAAAAAAAAATATGACATTCAAACATTTTATATATATATATATATATATATATATATATATATATATATATATATATATATATATATATATATATATATATATATATATATATATATATATATATATATATATATATATATATATATATATATATATATATATATATATATATATATATATATATATATATATATATATATATATATATATATATATATATATATATATATATATATATTTTTTTTTTTTTTTTTTTTTTTTTTTTTTTTTTTTACAATTCTCATTTATTTTTGTCGATTTATGATATTTATTTAGATCAATTTGGATTTAATCACCCTTACCGGTGACATTATGTTGTATTGTATGGGAAAGAAATCAAATTTCTAAAATTTAAGTAATTTCTTTGTATGTATGTATGCTTAAGTATCAAGTTCACACAAATCAATTAACTTTTTTTTTGTCTTCATTCCTCGTTAAAGAATAACACATTTAAGAGATGTTTATATGTAATATTCTAAGTTTTGTTCCGAAATTTAGGTTCATTTTTCACGTCATCTCGTTCTGTATGGCCTTTTAACCGCTAGCCGGTTTGTTCGGTCTATTGGTTTTTGCAGGAAAATAGGTTCTTTGCTTATCTGTACATGGTCACATTCACCGTTAATGTCGGATACGAGTTAAATTGCAAGAGATTTTGTTGGGACTCAGCAGTTATGTCAGGTTTGAATCGTACAAGAGGGCTTAATGGTCAAATTCGAAATTGGAACGTCACAGTTAATCGAATAAATCTCGTTAGAGGAATTTAATCAGTTTGATTTTGTTTGGATAAATCTAATCGGAAGATTTTAGTCATTTAAATTTAGTTGAGCAAGTTGGATTTATTCTAATGAGGTTATTCGTTTAAGTTACCGGATGAGTTATTCGGAGATTTTATCAGAGATGGGATTTAATCGGATGAATTGGATTGAGAAACTCAAATTAATAAGAAAAATAAAATTTTATTTATTCTGGTATTTCTTATTACAATACAAAAGGAATTACAATAACATTTTTTTTTTTCTAATTTCTAAATTCCTAAATTGTCCTAAATGTCTTCAAGGCCGATTTCTTCGAGTTTCTGATTTTTTTCCGAACCTGCAAAATCAACGATAAACAAGCATTTTTTTTAAATGGTTAGAAAAGTGGTTCCGATACCTTCAGTTTAATTTCACCATTGGGTACGTCAGGAGGGCAACGACGAAGTCGCGGCCAGCTCCCGACTCATTTTCCCAACTCGGCACGAGACCGGCAGATTCCTGTTCAAGGCAACTCAGAGAGAGAGAGAGAGAGAGAGAGAGAGAGAGAGAGAGAGAGAGAGAGAGAGAGAGAGAGAGAGAGAGAGAGAGAGAGAGAGAGAGAGAGAGAGAGAGTCTTTTAAAAGTGATTTTCCAGAAAAGTAATTTTTAGAATAAGCACTTTTGGAAAAGCATTTTTCAGAAAATTGGTTTTGCCAAACAGACCACTAACAATATTTCCCAAGCAAATCTGAGCCACGGTGGATCAAACATCAATAACAACCAACTTAGCAGAAAAAGCGCCTAATTCGTATCCAGCAAGTTCCACAACCATAATCAGCGCAACCAACAAAGTTTCAGAAGTCAACAACTAAGCCAAATTTCCAGCCATGGGACAAACGAAAACCGTGAAATTCGCAACCCACCACAAATTCCTGAAAACCATCAAACGCATCAAACAATATGGCCATCAAGAACGCCTGAAAAATCTCAAAAAAGCAAACTCAACTAACAAAGTCATATGAATCCATGCCCACTGAAAATGAAGAAAAAGAACGTTATAAAAACATCGCCAGAAAGGGGATTCAAGAGCTCAAAAAAGAAGAAGGGGATTCAGAAACCTTAGAGGCTTCATCATCATCATCAAGTAAAAAGAAAACCCAGCAAGTGCATGCGAAGGAGAGAAAGCCTCCGCTATCATCGAGATCAGAACAGATTGAACTCCGAAGGCGGCGGCGGAAAGCTTGAAGTTTCAACGCCGACCAAGCGCTACCGACGAGCAAAAATTTTCCCAACGGCGGAGGCTCAGTTGTCAACATCATCGCCGTCCACCAACACAAACCACAACTCAAGGATTCGTTGCCGTTACTTTAAGCTTTTTCTTCATTTGATTACGGTATTTCACGATTTTTTGCATGTTATTTTGTCTGCTGATTGTAGAGGTTCAGTGGAAGAAGACGAGAAATGGGACGAAAAAGAGGAAGAAATTTCAACAGAGCTCATCCATGCAACCATGGCTGCCGACCTCAAAGAAATTTCCTAGAACTTCAGCAAAATCTAACTTTTTCTTTCCATTAACATTAATTCATTTTTCTTTTTTTTTTTAAAATACTAATTAAAATTCTAATTCACTTCTTAAAACTCTAACATTTTAATTCAAAACTTTCTTATATTTTGTTTAAATTTAATCTCTAACATTTTAATCTAAACTATAATATTATTCCATTTAATAAAAAAATTTAAACACTTTTGTCCCTTTATTTCTAATTTGTAATTTAACCAGATTCTTAACTTATGTCCCTTTAATTTTCGTCTAACTTTATGACATTCCTAACATTTTTTCCTCAGTTGTATAGTTTATTGATCATTTACTTTTCGCACTTCATTTTATGGTTGTAAATTACGCGAGACTATCGTCGCTTTTATTCCGTCATTCTTTGCTTTTTTTTTCATGGTTGTAACTTATGCGAGGCTATCGTCGCTTTATTCTGTTATTTTTTATGGTTGTAATTTACGCGAGTGATCGTCGCTTTGCACTTTTTTACTGCTTTCATATTTTTCTATATTTCAATTCCGTTATGTAATAATTTGTCGTTTGTATCATTTACGTTAACGCCTTCCGAAGGATTAGGTATAGTCGTTTGACCGTCGAGTCAATAACCCTAACCTTTGACCATTTCAAAACCCTAATTGCCTAGGCGTCCCGCCGTGAACAATTTTACCCTTTACCCTAGTTTTAGGTTAAGGAGTCGCCGCACTCCGTTTTAGGTTTCCCGCCGTGGAATACCTATTTACCCTTTTAATTTCAATTCAATTACTACGTAGAAATAGGAGTCGCCGCACTCCACGTAAGCGCTTCCTTAAGAACGCTTATTCCCCATTAAAACCTTTACCACAACCAAGAAGTTTCTAACCTCCCTTTCGAGGAGAACTACGATTACTCTGATTCCATCCCCTACCTAGGATACGTAGGCACAAGATGTGAATCTTGCCGAGTAAACTTAGGACTAACCCTTAGGTCTTTCTGTCACTCTTAACCCTTAGCAATATACCCTCAAGCAAATAATAAAGCAAAAATAGTAAATTTAAACAAAAGGTTTCTGTAGAGTACTACAGAAGTTTAGGGTGCTAATACCTTCCCTAAGCTTAACCAACCCCTTACCTAGAGCTCTCCCCGCATTGTTTACGATGCAAAAATTAGGTTTTCCTTCTTTTGACATTTTCCTTCGGATAAATCAAAGATTGGTTGTGAATTAAAGATGTGATTTAAATTAATTAATAATTTGATATTTTATTCTCACCGCAATACTCTGAGATTAATATATCACCCTTGAAATTCACCTATTTAAATGTTCTAATTTTCAAAAGTATGCTTAAAACACTTGTAGCTTATTGCGAACAATGTTGAGACTAAATTATTTATTTGAAATGCTCTTCTCCTATCCAATGTTGAAACTTTTATTATTTATTTAAGTGTAACATTTTATTTATAAATTTATTTCAATTAAAATATTTCTATTTTCATATTTCATAATATATTCTCTTCTATTTTTTAAAATAAAAGTTATGTATACCAATTAATTTATTTCCGTTGCTTCTCTATTTCATATCATTTGATATATAATGTTATGTATTTATATAAATTGTAGATCCATAATAAGGATGATAATGAATTGAGTTTGGGTAAGGTACTATAGTACTCATCCTCATACATATGATTTGAAAAAATTCACGTACCTGAGTCTATACCGACTTAGACGCCAAAGTTAATATTTGTACTCGTGTCCTGTAAATATGTAAGTATTCATATCCGTTATTTGCATTTCTATTAAAAATAAATAGATCAATTATAAAATATTATATCATTTTAAGTTTTTTAAAACATTAAAGAAATTTCAAAAAAATTATTGTTGAAAGAAATACACTAGTATCAAATACGTAATAGTTTAACATTAATAAATTTTTTGAAATTGATAGAACATACATTTTTATATAATAATACAAATTAAAATATATAAATATAAATTAAAATACATACGTATTATGCGGATATGGAACATAATGGATACTAAGACGCTCATACTCGCACTCGTACTCACTTGTTTTTATGGATAATTACTCTAGCACATGCTCATACCCTTTTTATGAATTTTTATCCTGGATAATTTTATAGATGCACATTGAAGATAAGTTAAATTGTCATCCTTAATCCACAATACATTAAAACAAATATTATTACAAGTTACGGACATATACAAAATATATATTTACCACAAATCAAAACTCAAACTATTAAAAAATTTCATTCTATCTTCTATTGCGCACACTAATTTATTATATAAAAAATTAAATTAATTAATTTTTAAATAATTTGATAAAAAAAACTGAGATTTTATTCAATTTTTACAAAAATTAAATTAACCAATTTTCAGATGATTTGATAAAAAATTATGAAAACTAATTTAATCCCTATAAAATTGATGACATTGTCACTATTTAAATCACTCAAAAAAAAAATCAATTTCATAACTACAATTATAAAGATTCATATTATTTTATATTTTTTATACTAATAATTATTTATTTTTTCGTATCTATCTTTTGGTTTTATCTCTATCAGTATTTTTTTTAAAAATACATTATATAATATTTTATTATATAAAAAGTTACGCATAAATAGTTTATGAAAAAATATCACGTATCATTTTAAAATCATAATAACAACAAAAAAAAAACAAAAAAAAAACATCATTACAATATTAAAAATAAAGTGATCAAACAATACTTTCAAATAAGAAAACAAATACTTCAATATTCTTTTTAAAATATAATTCATAATTATAAATGCGGTTTTATATATTACAAAATTTAACTTCAATTTTCTCATTACACTATTAAAAAATTATGAAACAATCCTTTCAAATTTAACTTATATTTTTCAAATAAACAAACAAGTACTTCAAATTGTTCATAATATATTATTTTGAATTATAATTGCAAATATATATTATAAAATTAAATCATAAATTCTCAACTATAATTTAAATTTTATTATATAAAAATGTCTATAATGTTTTGTTAAATTGTAAATAATTGAAACTGAAGAGATAATTCAATTGTAAATATTACAAATTTATGGTAAATTAAAACCCAAAATATATAATACACTTATATAGCTCAACTCAGCCCTGCGGAATGTCTCAATCTAGTTATTATTAATTTTAAAAACAAAAACTCAAAATATAAGCACTTGATATCAAAATCTAAACCTGTTTTCATTCCCTTGTCAAGAATCAATTTAGTTCCAAATACCAAGGTATTTCATATCAAAAACTAATAAAAGCACTTAATACACAGGGATATTATTTTATTTTTTGAAAACCAGAACTCAGTATAAGCACTTGATATAAAAAACTAAACCTGTTTTCATTCCTTTCTCGGGAATCAATTTAGTCCCAAATACTACAAGTGTACATTAAGTTGTTTGAGAAAACAAATATTTCCAAACACTACAAGTATACAAGTATCTCATTGTTTGACAAAACAAAGATCATTGCATACGTGTGGTGGAAGGCCGCCAAGATGGCGCGAGTGATGATTTTCTGCTACTTTCCATGCCTCTACGCTTGAGAGGACTCCATACTATGGATTTGCGTTGCAATGCAATTGCAGTTGGATTCCTAGCCATCATCCGCGAATCGGCTGTTTGTGTTGGACTGCCAGCAAATCTACTACTGCTACCCTCATTCAAATTTGGTGTTGTCTCGATTGTTGATGTTGTCAGTGGGGTGAATAAGCTCGAATACCGAGCTTTCCTTTGGTTCCTTATCATTGGCCGGTGATTGTTGCTTTCACTGGTGAATTGAGAAGTAGAGGCATGGGGTGAATTTGTTTCAGGATGCATTGTTGCCAGGGTAACTCGCCTCTTAGTCTGAAGCTGGTGAGCTGGTGGTTTCGCAGCAATAGAGACCCTTCTTGGCGCCATTGATGTCGTTTTGGCAATATTTTCCTTTCCTTGCAAGGAAGAGCTGCATGAGAAGGGCCTTCTCTCAGATGTTGGTCGTGGAGGCAAGGAATTATTAATTGCTCTCAGTGGGGGTCTTTCCAAAGGAATCAGTGATGTCCTCTTTATTGTTTTCTCAGCAGCAATTGACCGACCTTCTTGCTTTAATCTGGTTTTTCTCTCCTCTGCAATCTGGTTCTCTAGATTTCGAACCTTCAAAAATTCAACCACATTGAGTAGAGCAACAAGTGCATACAAATATGACTATCATAACTTGTTATACCTTGTCTTGAAAATGTCGGCACATGATTTCTCGTGTGGCTAGTTTCATTTGAGTGGTTTCCAAGTTATCTTGTAATTTCCTAAACTCCTTCTCATCGTGTTTGGACTTTTCAGCCTGTTTGTGACAAAGATTTTCAGTTTTAAGGAATAAAAAATAAATTATTTATATTACAACAACAAAGCTTTATCCCACTAAGTGAGATCAGCTACATGGATAAACTTTCACCATAATGAAAACAACTACTAAGCTCATCTTATCCCACTAAGTTAAGTTATTTATATTCCCTTCACTAAAAAAGAATATTTGTAAATCGTATAAAATCAACAAGTAAACTCTAGCATACCATTTGCTTGTACTTCAAGATTTCAGTGAGGTCTACTTGCTTGCGGGCTGGGCCACTCTCAATTCCTCGAACACGTGTGGCAAAATTCAGTGAACAAAGCGTCTCTGTTAAGTCTACTGAACTAGGACTTATTTGGACAAACATAAGAGTTTTGCAATCACCTCCTGTATTTTGATCCAAGATCAACATCAATACATCATCAAAATTAAAAAAGATAGAATGCACGCATCAAAGGAGCATAGTGCTAAAGTGAATACTCACCTAACGAGCTCTGAAGTATATGAGTGAGCTTCGAGTTCCTGTCTCAAATAAAAAGATTTAAAAAAAAAAGAATGCAAATCGTAATGAGATAAAAAAGAATTACCTGTAATGATGTTAAAGATGAGATCAAAGAGAATTACCTGTAATGATGTTAAAGATGAGATCAAAGAGAATTACCTGTAAGGTATGTGGCCTGATTTGGAGGCAAGGGCTGCAATAACATCGCCGAGTGCGGATAAAGATTTATTTATGAACTGAGATTCCTTCAACCTTTCTCCTTCAGCTTCAGTTTTCCCCACGCGCTCACTGCCAGCCAAGTCTACTAGCCAAAGATGACTTTTTGTTCTCTGACCATTGATTAAGTTCTCCCCTACAACGGTTACCCGCACCAAACTGCAAGTAAACCTCGGTCATTCACAACCCACAATAATATACAAGTAATATCTGCATTGGAAACTAACCTACTAATTACATTATAATTCTATTTTGTAATAGTTTAATATGTTAACAGATAAAAAGATTTTGTCTCTGACAGCTATTCAAGGAAAAACTCGGCCAGTGATATATGATTGAAAATTTCAAACCTAGAAAATTAAAAAGTACATACCAATGAGAACGACTGCTAAGCTCATTAGCACTTGTTGAACCAACTGATCTGACTCTGTTTCCAGACCTCAAAATTTCCCAAACACCATCTGCTCCATAAACACGAGTTTCAACAAGTCCTGGTACTTCTTGGCTTCCATCTGCAGCTTGCTTTACCTCCAACCTATATTTCATCATTAGTAAAAGTGAGAAATAGACCTCCAGGTCATTAGGGTGTACCAGAAGAGATAGGCTCAAATCTCAACAGATAACTAACTCTTTGAGATATTACTCTAAAATTACTAACTACTGTTAATTATAGTTGGTTAATTAGGGAGAGCGACTAGTTTAAGAAAGACCTGGTTCTCTTGAATATCCTAAGGTATTATTCTTTTTGTAGAGTACATTACTCTTGGTACTGCGCACCCCACATTTTTAATTTGAATCAATCAAATCATGACTCACAAGCCTTACTCTATGTTTTCTACTTCAGTAATATCACTTGAGAAGATATTTAAAAATCAAAATTTCATGCTTTATTCTATAGATAAAAGGAGGGAGGATAATATTGATATCATAACATTGAGTATAATGGGTTTAACAAGCATATGTAAATCCAACTACGCCTTCAAATAAAGCAAGGTGTAGAGATAACTAATTAAAAGCATAACATGTCATTTTTTGAAATATTAACTTCCTCCAAAAGCTATAACTATTTTTACTTGCAAACAATATATGTCTCTACTCTAGCACTTTCTGATTTTCAGTATTATCATCGCATATAACAGTGCAAACTAAGTTTGTGAAGATAAACTATATAATAGTTAAAGTAGAACAAACTCACTTCTTAGTGGTTTCAGAAGAATTTCCAGCCAAGAGATCTTTGATCTTTTCATTGTAAACCTCCAACATACTAACAAGCAATTCATATTTTATTGTGCCTTGTCTCTCTTCAGAAATCCGAAACAATTCCTCGAGGGTTCTATAGTTAACTCCCCGATTATCTGGTGTTCCCTCCATGGTAAAGGTCTTACCCGTACCAGTTTGCCCATATGCAAAAATGCACACATTGAACCCATCTAATACTGATCCAACGATAGGCTTTGTTTGTGCAAAAACAGCATCTGCATAATAAAAAAACACACACAATTAAGCATTAGATATAACACGAAATAATATTTTCAATGAAAAATTAACCACCAAAAAATTCTAATTTCTCATGTACCTTGACTATCTTCGGGTTTGAATACATAGTCAAATTTAAATTGTTTTTTAGAAGAATCGGAGCATATAACTTGAAGCTCTTCTTCAGCAGTTGACTCAAACTTGACAACGGATGCTGATCCATTAGCAATTTCGTTTTCATTTAATGGTCGACATCTACAGAAAACTCTTATATTACCCTTGAGTTCAATCACTTCATTGTTAAGCCGCCTACGCTCAAATGACTCATCTATGTACTTTCTTTTCAAAAGTTCATATTCAGCACCTAGTCACAAACCAAAAAAACACCCTAGTAAAAAACTAACCACGGAATGCTAGAAATAATATTCAACTTAAGGCATATGTTAGAGCCTTACCTAGAAGCTGAATAGACTTTAAAACACCTAGATCAGCAAAAGACTCAAATGTGAGTTTCACTTGATTACGAAGGGAAACATGCTCTTTCTTCAAATCCTGAATCATACATAACAACCACAAGCCATAAAACATTAACAAAAGTAATAAGAAGAATTTTTATAAAGCAAATAAACCAACATTCACAATCTACCTGAGCTTTGGTACTTAGGTCAAGAATTTTCTTCAATATTGGTAGAGTATGACCCTCATAAGATGAACTTTCATAAGGAGAAGTTTCATGGACTACACTGGACATAGTTTTCTCATCCATACTATCTGAAGTTTCATTCAACTGTTCTGTTGAATTATCTGATGACATGCAGAAATTACACCAAACAAACAAAATTAATAAAAAATTTATGGCCAAAACTACACAATTACACAGAAATTACACAAACAAAACAGAATTATTCTGTTGAATCATGTGAGAATCGATTTTTTACTTTCTTTTTAGGACTATTTTTGCATCAGTTAATACAAATGTTATTCCCAAATCATTTTCTAAGTTTAACCCTACAAATTGAATACCAAAAACAAACAAAAAAATTAATACAAAACAATATCAGATACTATTTTCATTAATTAAACGAATAAAAGAACTATAAATGAAAGTAAACTATGATAATAAATCAAAGAGAATCGGAAACCTGCTGAGGAATTCAAATTGCAGTTAATAACAAAGCGATTGAACTTTTCAGTAAGTATATCAATTACTTTATCTGCAAAAATCGAACGCGATTAGTTAAATTAGGTCAAAAAAGAAAACGAAATGAAGTTATGGAAAGAGCGAGAGAGAACCTTCCATGGCTTGGAGAACGTAGATCTTGAAGAAGAAGAAGAAGAAAATTGAGAGGGAATTCACAGTACTTGTTCGAGCTAGATCGTTAGAGAACGAAAGAAAGAGATTGGAGCTAGTTGGAGAGATGGAAATCAGAAGAAAGAAAGAACGAAAGAGAGTTTGATTTGGTTGTAGTGACGGTTGTTGATAGTCGCTCGGTAAGGGGTTTTGAATTTTGGAATCGGACAATAAATGCATCTGTTGCAACGGCTAATTCTATTTCATTATTGATTTTGTTTATGGTTTTAAGGCATCCCTTTTCTCTTTCTTGTTTTTTTTTTCTTTTTTTCTTAAAAAGGTAATTTAATTATTTCTTTTTAAGATAACTTAGTTTTATTTATAAATTTTAATTTAAAATACAAAATATAAGATATTGATAATAAAAAAATTATTTGTATTTATTTAAATAGGTCAGTCTAATAAATCTAAAAGACTTTTTTATGGTATGAAACATAACTTTTTTTAACTAAATAGACTTATAAAAAAGTTCAGCCATTTTTAATTTTAAAAAAATGTCTTCTATAACGTGAGTCTGCAGTAGGTCTCGGTTAGCCGGCCTTGCCTATTTTAGCCCCTAATTTTTAAATAAAACTAATTTAATTACTATAAGTTGACTAAACGTGACACTCACGTATGTCCATTCGTTAATGTCTGCCCCACAAAAGTATGTAAAATAACAGGGCGAAGCAAGAAGGAAATTATGCGTGCACTTAAAATCTTGATCTTCCTTAAAAAAAAGGACGAGCTCACGGACACTGCATAATTTTAGTCTAAAAATTGTAAAAGTTTATTGTTCTAGACCAGCCATATCCCTCTTGGACCCACCATTTTGAGATAAATTATTTCTGGTCAAAGCCTTTTGACCGAGTACGCGGTTATGTTTCTAGAATCTTTTCCTTACCACATGATTATCCTATACTTTGCTATAGGAGATCTGCATTTCAGACGCATCCAACAGTCCTCCGCATTTCACGCCTGAAAGATAGTGAGGTCGTTATTCCTCCCTTATATATATATATATATATATATATATATATATATATATATATATATATATATATATATATATATATATATATATATATATATATATATATATATATATATATATATATATATATATATATATATATATATATATATATATATATATATATATATATATATATATATATATATATATATATATATATATATATATATATGAAATGGCGTCGAACCATGTAACAAGTTTAAAACACAATTTGAACAATCTCTACTCTTTCACATACTAACTTGAGTGTCAAAGTGCTAACTGTAACACCCCGAATTTAATCATGATATTTGAATTAATTATTTAATTGAGAATATTCATGTTTCGGTGAATTTCCGGTGGTTTTGTGAATATTGGAAAAGTGTGCATTTTCGGATATTTATTTGATTAATAGCATATAATATTAAATTATTAGTATTATTATTAATTAAATGAAATATAAGTTAAATAAGGGCAATTTGGACATTTGACGAAGTTAGTAAGGGTAATGAGGGAAAAGTCCAATGTGTGAGGCACATGACTAAGTTAGACAAAATAGAGTTCTGAGAGGATTTGGAATTCATTTGTGTTTAACGTGAAAGTTTGGTGTGGCCAGAGTTCTGAAGGAAAAGTTAGAGGGAGAAGGTCCCAAAGAGAAATCGTGAAAGCTGTGAATCGACTAAGGTATGAGGAGTATTTTTGTTCATGATTTTCCATGTATGCTTTTAGATGTATTCATGGTGGGTTTAGGATTTGAGGGTTTCTGAATTGAATTGGAGAAACTAAGAGACTTGATTATAGAACTCTGAGATTGTAGGTCATGGTATGAATCACTGAATATTAATGTGAGTTTGGAAACCAAAACCTGGGATTGTGATATGTTTGACCCTGTAGGAATAGGAATATTCAGATGTGAGTACTCTAATGCACTCAGAGCAATTGCAGGAAAATAGTGTTTTAGGCAGTGCAAATGTTGCCAGATTAGCCTAATGAACCATAGAGTTTGTACTGTTATTGTCGTATAATCTTAGGGATGATATAGGGATACTTTGGGGGTATTGGGTGAATGATTCGTATGAGTTTTCGGGTGGAAATCAGTTCTTGTGCGTAGCAGAAGTTGCTGTCATCGCACTGTTCGCCTAGCGAGCAAGCCAGCGAAGGTTCGCTACAAGACTCACCTAGCGAGCAAGCCATTGAGTATTCGCTATAGGCTCGCCTAGCGAGCAAGCCAGCAAGGGGCTCGCTACGAGACTCGCCTAGCGAGCGAGCCAACGAACGTAGCAGAAGTTTGCGAAATTGATTGTTGTGCAGCGATGCCGTGATGTGTGATTCTGGGATTTCTGGGATGAGTTACCCCGAGTATGACAGTGGATTTTAGGTGATGGGTAAATGATGTTATGATAGTTTTTATGATGTATCGATTGAGTTAATATGATGAAATTACCATGATTTGATGAACTATGTGATAACATGAGATATGATGCTTTATGTGATTTATGTGGTGATGATGATGAATATGATGAATGATGATGCACCATATGCTGTATTATGAGAATTATTATTGTGACGTGTGCATCATGCATTCATGCGCATTCGATTGCTTTGGCTTCAATCCCACTGTGTGGATGTGAAGTACTTTGACGTGCTCTGATCCTATTGATGGGGATCTATGGAGGGTTGATGGCCCAGTGTCCATCGAGTTGTGATGATTGGTACCACATGCATTGAGTTGTGTTGCATTGCATTTATGAGTCTTTGTGTATAAATTATGATGTTGTGACCTTTGAGGCGTTTGTGAGTAATATGAATGTGTTGAATATGAATATGTCGCCGTTTATGCATTAATCGTCATACATTGATTATTATGAATTATTTTACTCACTCTTCCTGTTTGAATGTTACCTCCACGTGGGTAACGTGAAGATGATCCAGTTTAGCCGTGGACGCCGGCAGGAGTTAGTTTTGAAGTTTTTGAGTGTTTTAGTCTTTTGGTCAGCTTAGAGGGTCTTACTCTGATATGTAACATCGGGTTGGGTTCTTTGAGTTGATTTTCAGCAGGAGTTAGTCTTGAAGTTTTTTAGTGTTTTAGTCTTTTGGTCAGCTTAGAGGGTCTTACTCTGATATGTAACATCGGGTTGGGTTCCTTGAGTTGATTTTATACTATTGATGTTATTTTGATTAATTCCCTCTTTGAGGAAGACTTGAAGTATGTTTCGAATTCCGCTGTTTATGATGCTTTGATGTATTTTTGGGAAAAACTCGTAGTTACGGAGTATGGATCCTATTTTGATGAATTTGAGAATGTACGCCCTTTTAGTAGCATTTTAATGAGATTTATTTATTCACTCTGATTTATGTGTTATTTTGCCTTGATATTTTTGGGGTAGAAAAAGGGTGTTACACTAACTTTGTAGGTACACCCCACTTCGTTGTGTGTGTGTGTGTGTGTGTGTGTATGTGTTTGTGTGTTTGTTTGTGTGTGTATGTGTGTGTGCGTGTGTGTGTGTGTATAAATTATTCACTATGAATGAAACTACACAAAGTCTAAAACACTTGTTTTTTGTGATTATATATACAGTGACAATGAAACTGAGGTACAAACGACGCAGTTGAAGGTCGGGATAAAGATTTTAGGGGTGCGGTCGGAGATGCTTTGCAAGTCCGACTACAACAATTAATATCACACAACATCAAGTGTGCCTAAAGATTTCAGGGGTGTTGTCGGATCCGTTTTTCATGTCCGAATACAACAATCAATACCACACAGCCTCGAGCTCGCCTAAAGATTTGAGGGGTGTTGTCGGAGATGTTTTGCACGTCCGACTACAACAATCAATACCCTGCAACGTCGAGCGCGCCTAAAGATTTTAGGGGTACTTCCAGAGCCATTTTGCACGTCCAACTACAACAATAAATACCCACAACGTCGAGCACGCCTAAAGATTTGAGGGGTGCAGTCAGAGATGTTTTGCACGTCCGACTTCAACAATCAATACTCTACAGCGCCGAGTGCACCTAAGGAGTTTAGGGAGTTGTCGAAGACGCTTTGCAAATCTGACTATATCAACCAATTCCTTTAGGGTGTTGTAGGAGATGGTTTGTACGTCTGACTTCAACAATCAATACTCTATAGTGCCGAGTGCACCTAAGGAGTTCAAGGAGTTGATGGAGACGCTTTGCAAATTCGAATATATCAACCAATTCCTTTAGGGGTGCTGTCGAAGATGGTTTGCACGTCTGACTTCAGCAATCAATACTCTACAGCGCCGAGTGCACCTAAGGAGTTCTGGAAGTTGTCAGAGACACTTTGCAAATTCGAATACATCAATCAATTTTTTTAGGGGTGCTGTCAAAGACGATTTACACGCCTGACTACAGAAATTGAATCCCTCTTTTTCAAAGATTACGCACATTTGTGCATAGCTGGCACACGCCTCCCCTTCGAATCTAGCCTATCTAAGGGACGTGA